TCTCTCTCTCTCTCTGTCTCTCTCTCTCTGTCTCTCTCTCTCTGTCTCTCTCTCTGTCTCTCTCTGTCTCTCTCTCTCTCTCTGTCTCTCTCTCTGTCTCTCTCTCTCTGCCTGTCTCTCTCTCTCTCTCTCTCTCTCTCTCTGCCTGTCTCTCTCTCTCTTTCAATTTATTCTAATTTCAATTTAATTGGCCCTGTTGACGTTTTGAATCAAACATGTTGCCAAAGCACACAATACATGTACAATACAAAAATACAAATACTATAGAGCCAACGTCTGAACCAAAGTGATTAAGTAGTTTAGATGCTGTAAAGTTACAGAATTGTATTTTAATGCAGAAGAAAGGTGAGAAACTGATGTTTTATTAAAGGTATATAAACATATAACAAACACAGCTCCAATAAAAGACTGTAATGAGGTTGAATTCGGGGGTGAAATGTGTGTTTTGAACAGATCAGAGTTGTATTCCAGCTGACGGAGGACAGAACGCAGTTTGCTTCGAGGCTTCTGAAACTGTCGGATTATCAACAAAGAACAGCGACAGTAATTTCACGCTTGAGGAGTGAAGCTGGTTTCATCCTGACGGCTCTGCAGAGCTCTGATTGGAGGAACACCTCCAGCATCAAACATACACACAGAGGTGAGAGTGTGTGTTAATAATAATTATAATAATAAATAATGTTAATGACATCTGATGGACCTGTTGTTCTGCTTTGACGAGGACCAATCAGATCGACTCTTCATTAAGCAGCTTAATTAGCATCTTCGCTCTTTATTAACATACACACATTAACATAAAGTGGAGCCTTGATTTTTAACAATAATTCTGTTAGCTGATAGTGTAGCATTGCTAATGCTATATTAGCTATCTATTAAAGATTTATGTCACATTTGTTCCCTTTTATCTGATGTTTGGTCAGCAGACAGTAAGCTCGCTATTCAGCCCTGCTAATGCTAGCAGGATTGCAGTTAACTAATGTTTAATCACTGCTAGCTTACTCTCCCTAATACCACGCTAGCTTAATGCCTTTATGCTACATTCATTCCTCTGAGTATATTTGAACAAAAGTGTAGCTAGCTACCAACACACAGTGAATGTTTAAATGAGCTACATTAATCGAATGTTACCCTGTAACAGGGTGCTAAGCTAACATCACCAATCCAACATGTTCTGTTACTAATAGACCAAATAGTCTAAATTAATGACTTCAATTTGACACCAAATTTGGGTTCAAGGTTACAAACAATAAAAGTGCAATCAAGACTTACAAAGAGAGATCAATAAAAAACATAAGATAAAACCAACTTATTGATCTGAATGATCGTTGCTGGAATGAAGCTGCTGTTTTTATTCTACTTTGTTCTACTTGTTGGGACCATTGACCCATTTAAAATGGAGCTGGTTATGAGCTGTAACTGTCTACTGTACAGATTCTGGGGTGGCCGCTGTAGATCCGCCCCTGGATGCCAAAATCCATCTGAATTTACAGGGCGTCACATTCAATTATGCAACTTATTAAACGGTTTCATAACGAAATCAGACTGCAAATTAAACGTCATTTTACCAGAGACACAGTGTCAAACTGTTTCTGACACTGATGAAGACAAGGACTACCATCCGCCCCCCTGCAACGTGCTGCTTTGTCCCACCTGCCTCCGGCCTTTGATAAATTACTGTCTACACTCCCCTGGACGAGGAAACACGGGTGCGTTTAAACGTCTTTAAATAGCGTCAGTGTTTGAAGTGGAAATGGAATCTGTCCTGTTTTGTAGAGCAAGCAGCAGAAATAAAAGGAAACCTTAACGTCTGCATCAAAGCGGCCGCCGCTGTCAGCCGCCGTCTCGGGATTTACTTAAAAATTCAGCACTTGAAAGATCCATTTTTAAATGAAGGCCAGCCTCAGCTTCAGAGGAGGACGCCCCTCCCTGGAGACATTAGAGCATTAAAGGTGGCGTAATTAGCCAGCGAGCTGCCAGTTCCACATTAGCTTTTTACCGCTGCCATATGTTAGCTTGCCGCTGCACTTGCAGAGGGACAAAGGAGGAGAGAGACGGGCTGTCCTCGTGTGACACAGTCATGTGTTATCAATATGCTGCCATGTTTTTAATGGGCCCTCTGGTTGGAACGTGGCACGCCTCCTCCTCCTCCTCCTCCTCATCTCATTTTCTTCTCTAAGTGAGGCAGCAGGCAGCCGTCCATCACGACTCCTCCAGCCGCCGCCAGCACTCCAGAAACACACTGTTATTATATAAAGAGGTTCATCATGCTGCTGTCCACAGACAGAGACCGGACCACGAGACCTGGACCTCTGCAGGAACTGAATACTCCTGACACTGTTCTACAGGACCCTGGTTCCCAACCTTCATATGGGAACATATTTTATATATATATAAGTGTAGTTTGTGTAAAACCACAGATTTGATTATTTCCTGTGAATATTGATCAGAGATGGCTTTTCCTGGTATTTGGTACAATTCTGTCCTATTCTGTATTTTTAGAATTTTAACAATCAGATAGATTCAAATTCTTCTTTTCTAAGTTTTCTTCACAATTTACTTTTCTTCACAGAAGTGAACTTAATGCTGAGATTTAGGTCTACTATGTGTATTTTAAAGCACCTTGCGACCCTCCATGAAGCTTTGGCGACCCCTAGTGGGGGTACCGACCCTCAGGTTTGGAACCATTGATGTAGGAGAAACTACAGTGTCTGCAAAACTCCCCTATCCGGAGTCAGTGTTTGGTTTGTCCATTCTGGGCTACTGTAGAAACATGGCGGCCTCTGTATGGACGTACAAAGAGAACTGGATGTGGTGTTGGCGGCAGAGCTCCCTGCATTCTTATGGAAGCTGCTCAGTGGCGCACTGGCAAAGTCTTTTTGGGGCCTGTGTGCATCAGGTGACTGACGCCATCGCTGTAATTACACAGTTCAGCCACTAGTTCACATTGACTTTGAACGCTGTCGTCTCCTCCCAACGGAAACATACCTGTGATTATTATATTACAGTAATAACACATACCTGTGATTGTTATATAACTAATAAAAACATACTTATTATTATATTATAGTCATAAAAACATATTTATTAATATTATATTACAGTAATTAAAACATACTTATTATATAAGAGTAATAAAACATACTTATTATTATTTTGGAGATATAATTAATGTTCCACACTGATAACAAACTGTACAGCTTTTCATTCATTTATTGAAATAACAGTCATATTGTACATATTGTCTCTCTTATCATCTCGATTTAATCTGTATTTAGATTTTACATTTACCTAACCCTAACCCTATAAAACCGATTCTGATTCCAAAAGACCCTAACCCAAATAACTGAAATAAGATGTTTTTGTCTTGAGCTTAAAATAAAAGCACAAAATGCTGGAGGTTCTGTAGTTAATACATCTCTACCAAACTAAATTAACTCCAAATAAGATAAACATGCTAATTCAGTGACAGTGAAAACAAGTCCAACTTAGATTATCTCACTTAGTTTTACTATATTAGCATATCAATCAATATTATAGAAAGTCCCATATATTCAAACATATATTGTAAATTCATAACCTTTGTGAATGTTAATGTATAAACATCCTGTTCTATATCAGCACGTACTCTAATAATATACATATGTTATATATCAGACTTTAACACAGAAACAGTCTTCAAATACAAACTGCTGAAAGCCTTGTCGGTCTGGTTGCTGTTTCCAGGGAGTTTTCCAGGAGGGAGGTCACAAAGCTGATCCCCTCCCCCACTTCCTCCCACTTTCTCCTCTTCTGTTGAGATTTAGTGAAACACTCGACCACAAAAGCCTGTTTAAGTCTGTCACTTTCCCATCGTTCCCAGTCCTGCTGCCAAGCCAGAGACATCTGATTTAAGGAATAATAAAATACAGAAAAATGGTTTTCCCATAATTACAGACTGCGTTATCTCGGCACGAGAGCCGGAGAGAAGAAAAGAACAGATTCCACAGCGAGACTCTGCTCTCTTTAAATGGATATAAAAAGAATATGAAAGTGTTTCTGGCTGATTTGAACCTGATGTGTTGAACTAAACCACAGTTTGTTTCACTGAATGCTGACGGAGCGGCTTTCTGACAGACCAACTCTCCTCCAACAGTTCCAACAATCAGTTCACCTCATGTTCCTGAGATAATGACTGAATGAACAGTATTAAACACTTATTATAAGTTACATTAATTAAGTCTTTATGAAACTGTTGGAGTTCACTTCATGTTCCTGAGAGTAATGAAGCATTATAGAGCATATGTGAACTATTATTTACATTTACTGTATGTGACTCTGTACCCAAATCTGTGATATCATACAAAACTGTGACTTTGTGTGTAACTGACTTTGTGCGTAACTCTAACTTTCTGCATAACTGACTTTGTGCGTAACTCTGACTGTACGTAACTGACTGTGCGTAAATCTGACTTTGTACGTAACTGACTTTGTGCGTAACTGACAGCTGTGGCTCAGAGGAAGAGCGGGTCGTCCACTAATCGGAAGGTTATTGGTTCGATCCCCAGCTCCTGCCACCACATATCGAAGTATCCTTTTTTTTACCACATTTTGGTATTTCTGTTTGTATTTATTTCTATTTTATTTAATTTTTTCCTTTTAAATGTTTTTTTCTGTATTATTTCTGTATCAAATTAAATTATTTTCCCTTTGCATTGTTCTGTTTCCCAGAGTTTTTTATTTCTGTGTTGTTTTTACATTTCAGCCTCATTATGTAAATGAGTTGTCATGTGGTCAACTTTTCAGCTTTATATCGATCAACATCAGACATCAAAGATCGGCTGTACATTCTTTACCCGAACTACAGGCTGTTTGTTTTCCAAGAAACATAAACAAGAATCATTTGTCAATATACAAACATACAAACAACAGATACAGTAATAATTACGATATATGGAAGACAAAAACTTGTTCCTGATAATAATGACAGCTTAATTATTATAAAACATATAGGAGCTATAATTTACTTCCTCTATGAATAATTTATTTAAATAATTAAGGTGACTAAATAAAATATAATAACTTCATACAGTCACCATGAAACTAACCTCCCCTTCCTCTCTAAGATTCTGGAGAAAGTAGTCGCCAAACAGTTGTGTGACTTTACATAGCA